TAACCTGAACCAAAGTTGGACGCTTAACCAACTGGGCCACCCAGGCACCCCATAAATTTTATTTATTTATTTTATTTAAAAAATTTTTTTTAATGTTTATTTATTTTTGAGACAGAGAGAGACACAGCATGAGCAGGGAAGGGGCAGAGAGAGAGGGAGACACAGAATGTGACGCAGGCTCCAGGCTCCAAGCCGTCAGCACAGAGCCTGATGCGGGGCTCGAACTCACGAACTGTGAGATCATGACCTGAGCCGAAGTCGGACGCTCAACCAACTGAGCCACCCAGGCGCCCCAATTTTATTTATTTTTAAAGTAAACTCTACCCCCAACATGGGGCTCAAAATCACCACCCCAAGACCAAGAGTTGCATGTTCTATCAACTAAGCCAGGCAAATGCCCCAGAAATAACCTCTTGATATTTTTAATGTATTTGCTTCCAACTCTTTTTAATATACATTTTAAAAGATTTTTAAAATATTTATTTATTTTTGAGAGAGACAGAGCATAAGCAGAGGAGGGGCAGAGAGAAAGGGAGACACAGACTCTGAAGCAGGCTCCAATACTCTGTGCTCCGTAACTCTGAGCAGTTATGACAGCACAGAGCCCAATGCAGGGCTTAAATTCACAGACCATGACATCATGACCTGAGCCTAAGTCGAACACTTAATCAACTGAGACACCCAGGTGCCCCTTCTTCCAACTGATTTTTAAGAAAAGTCATCTTTTTCTAAATACTTCTAATTTTTCATTTCCTTAAAGGTCAACATTTGGTTAAAAGGTCTAAGCAAGAATATTTTTTTACATGACCCAATACCCAAATTATGAAAGTTGAAAATATCTGGTTCTGAAAATATTATAAAGTGAACTCTTCCAAGTAAGAAAATACTACAGAACTCTTCAGACAAAGTCAGTAGAGAATGTTAAATTACAAGAAACAATTCAATTAATGGTAAATTGGGGCAGGGTTTCCACTTCCCAGTTCTTTATTTCATAAAAAAGAACTTCTCACCAGGAACTAGTTGCAAAGAGTCTTTTACAAGATTAAAAGAATACCCAAAGACCTGCTCTCTAAAAGTGAAAATGAGAAAGCATAACTCCTTCTCACCCATCAGATTGGAGTCAAAAACTTTAAAGTCTGATAACACCAAGAAGTGGCTAAAGGGTCTGGGGAAATAGGAACATCTATCTGTTCCCTGATGAAAGAAAAGTAAGTTTGTACAGCCACTCCAGAGAGGTACTGGCATATCCACTAAAATTGAAAATTCACATACTCCATGTTGTAACAATTCTACTTTTAGAAATATATCCTAGAGAAATCTTAGACACGTGCTCAAGGGAACATAATGTCCAAGATAGCATTATTTATAATTACAAAAAACTGTCAACAAACTTAATACCTATAACATGTAGCAACATACTTAATGTCTACAGGTAGAGTAATGGATAAACTGTGGTATAAGACAGACAATGGAATAGCATACACTAGAACTACATGTATCAGCATCAACAGACTGACAGTACAAATCCTGAATGGAAGGGGAGCTGAAGAGAAACAGAATATATATATAAAAATATATTTTACGTAAATCTTCAAAATATACAACATTACATGTTATTTATGGCTATGGATTTATGCAATACAAAGTATGAACTCGAAAGCTACACATTCACATTCATGATAGTGTTGCTCTGGGGAAGAACAAAGTGGACTTCAACTCTGTCATGTTTTACTAGGAGAAAATATGAGATGAAATAAATATGAATGTGTTAATTTGGGGTGGAGGATACATGGGTATTGATTATATCATTGTATTTTACTGAAATTTTAGCAACTTTTTTCAACTAAAAATAACAGGGTTACCTAAAATAAATGATAAACATGCAACTGATAAATGAAACTTTTAAGTTAAATAATTAATAAATCATACATGGTTTCTTTTCAAAGAATGTGAATACAGTAAAACACACTGGCCACATGCTTGGACAATATGACTGATGTGAAGAAAACAGTCCCCTAATCAAGTGTTATAAATCACCGTGTAACAAAGAACAAAGAGTACAGGACTTTATAAGCAGTCAGACCTGGTTTCCCAGTTTTGTTCCACTAGTTTGTAGCTGGAAAAGTTATTTAATGTTTATGAGCTTTAGCCTTAAACAACTCATTTATAAAATATGGATAAGATCATGAGGCATAAATGAGGATAAGTTTATCAAATGCCTAGCCAGTATGATGAACACAGTAAACGATAGCTGCTGCTCCCCATGGCACTGGTTATAATTAACTGAAGAACAGTAATCTATGAGGCTACATGGAGATGCAAAGGATAGAGAGTGCCAAATGGATAAGCATTCGGCTAGGGCAGAGGACCTTAGTCTTAAATCCTAGACTCATTTAGTCAAACAGAAATTAAAGTATATACCAAGTGGTATCTGCTTTAAAATATCCTAGAAAGAGACATAAGATTAGCAAAATGTTGATAATTGTTGAAACTGGGTAATGGGCATTATAGGATTCATTACAAAAGTCTCTCCACTTTCATGTAAGTTTAAGGCAGGATGGAAAGGAAGGATGGAAAGGAAGAAGAAAAGACTCAAAGACTCAATGGGGAAAAGCAAGTTAACTTAGAATAGAGAAGAAAAATCCTCCCAGCTATACTGGCGTGGTTAAAACAATCCAGATCTCTCTACTCTGACTGTAGAAGCCTCATTCTGAAGGCAACATGGAGTGTCGCTGTGGCCAGAGCTGGGCATAGTCACTTCCCCTACAGATGTGGAAGTATAAACTCTTCTTATTAATCAGCTTTTTTTTTTAGTTTATTTATTTATTTTGAGAGAGAGCGAGCAAGCACACGAGCAAGCAGGGGAGGGGCAGAGAGAGAGGGAGAGAGAGAATCTCAAGCATGTTCCACATTGTCAGCGCAGAGCCCAAAGCAGAGCTTGAACCCAGAAACCATGAGATCATAACCTGAGGTGAAACCAAGAGTCAGATGCTCAACCGACTGAGCCACTCAGGCACCCCAATCAAGAACTTTTCTGTGTATTTATGGAAAAAAAAGTTTCTTAATGTAGGAAAACATTTTTGGAATATGGCACAAAGTGCCAGTTGAATCCCAATATTCATTCTTGTTTTCTCTCTCATAGTAAGAGAGCTCCCAGTTTTTAGCTATGTGGACATGGCCACATAGAATATTTCCCAGCCTAGGGCTGGTCTTCTGATTTCTGGCTAAAAGAATAGGAAGAGAAGTGATGAGTGCAAATTTTGGGTTATGCCTCCTTACACCTCCTTTTCTCTTCCTGCTGGCCAGAAATGCAAACATGGTGGCATGAGATAAAATGGTTATCTTATTAGCCCACAACCTGAGAACCAAATTTTGAGAATGGCAGAGCAACAAGATATGAGTGTCTAGATTCTTGATGATTGTCGAAGCAACATACTAGAACTGCCTACTGGTCTTTTATGAGTGAGACAAAAACTTAGGCTTCTGGTTTTTGTATTTCTCTTTTATAGTAGTCAAGCTTTTTTTCCCAAGACAAGAGTCTTCACATTTCCTGAATATATCAAATTTAATAATTCACTGCATGAACTAAATTACACATCTATTTTCATGTTCCTTTTTTTTAAAAATTTTTTAAAATGTTTATTATTTTTGAGAGAGAGAGAGAGAGAGAGAGAGACAGAGCATGAGCAGGGGAGGGGCAGAGAGAGAGGGGAGACACAGAATCTGAAGCAGGCTCCCCAGGCTCTGAGCTGGCAGCACAGAGCCCAACATGGGGCTCGAACCTATGAGCCTTCAAGCTGTGAGATCATGACCCAAGCCAAAGTCGGCCGCCTAACCGACTGAGCCACCCAGGCGCCCCTATTTTCGTGTTCCTAAACCAACAAAGAAAGCAAAAAAATCTTAAAGGAAAACATATGGATTGGACCTATTTTCTTTTCTAAAACTCCATGCATCTTAACTTGCTTTTCTCAGCTGTATCGACCTCTATTCTCACTCAACGGCTTCAAAATTTCCAGGATATGACATATGTAATCTCTCCCAAGAGCTAAATAAAATGTGGTATCCCAAGTTGGCCACAGGAGGGCAGTTTTGATTAGCAGAGCTTATCCACTAGGAGCATACCACTGGCAAGATTAGCACCCCCAACTCCCCCCATCTTGTTTGAAAAAAGAGAGAATGAGGAAGTCTGGAATTCTACTGGGGAAAATCCTACTCACAGCTGTCTACAGACATCATAAGGAAGACTCTTAAGTAGGTCACTATAACCTCAAATTAGTCTTTCTTTTTTTTTTTTTTAAACAATATAACACTCTGGCCTAGAACGTGAACTTTTCCCATTCACAACACTTCTCTCTGCATTCCTAACTTCCTTTAGTGTCACAAAGCAGACACCCTTTGTTCTATACTGTTGTAAATATTTCACTTTGATTCATGCTCTGATTCAGTGTTTTTGTTTGTGCTCTGTACAGACCTTTGCAAGTCAGAATTTACTTTAACAACCAGAAAGTAAGGATTCTATTGTATTCTATGCAATTTTCTCTCCAGACACTGAAGAGTATGGCCAATTATGATTTAGTACTTAATGATAAGTACATGGTACTCCTGCACATTTACATAGGATTTGTCCATAGTCATTTAAGCTACTATCATTTATTAAGCGCTCGCTCTGTGCTAAGTCCTTCATGTACAATGGTTTCTTATTCTCCTATAACTCTGAAAGGCAGAGGAGGGTATTACTCCCTTTTACTAGATGAAAAAACAAAGTTCAGGAAGATAAACCTGCCCAGGTCACACAAGCAAGGAGTGGCTGAGATCTGGAAAAGGCTCTAACTCCAAAGCTCACATTCTTTTTACTATGCCACACTGGTTCTTTCTCACACGAACCCACTAAGTACTTAGCTGTCCCTTAAAACAGCATCTCTCTACTTTCATGAAAAAAGATAAGCTGTATTTCTATTGGGCCAAGGTTCAATGGAAGGTAAAACAGTATCATTTTGCTCACGCTTCTGCTTTCTGGGCAGGCATAGTTTCTAGGCAGACACTTCAGCAATAACCAGGGACAGTCTGTACTTGCAGACAGCTCCTTATCTGGAGTCCAAAGCATACACTAAATTTCCTAGGTAAACAGGAAATGTCTTTTCTCATGGTCTTCTGCTTTTGCGCATTTCTTTCACACTCTTCTATGCCTTTTTCAGGTGCCCTTAAACTCCATTCAGGGCATTCTAGCACAAACCCATCCATTTTTTCTTAGTTCTGCATTGCCATTAAGTAGGTGGCAATGTGACAAGAAAGCCAATACAGTTGTTCAGCAACACAGAGGAGTGGATTTGCAAACTGCAAAGTGTAAAAAAGTGAAACTAATTTGTTCAGAGCTTCTGAGCATAAACAGCAATACTATATTGACTCAAAAACCTAAATCAGACATTCCATGTATCTTTGGTGAAGCAAATTAGATTCTGAAGAACATGTAAAATGTGTCTGAGTAACAAGCCCAGATAATAGTAACAGAAAGGACTTTGCCAAAAGGCTTACCCCTAAGGCCAAAAAAATGGAGCACTGGGAAGCAGTTGGGGGTGCCTGTCTTCGTGATTCTGGCCAGAGAAGCCCCAAAGTCAAATATGATGCTATAGCTTGGTGGTTCCTAATTTTGCCTAATCACATGAGTCAGCAGGATAGCTTAATAAAAATCCAGATTCCTAGGGCCCCTAAGAAGATTCTGATTCAGAAAGTTTGAGATGGGGGCCTCAGTATCTATATCTATACGTTTTAAAGTTGATTTATTTACTTATTTTGAGAGAGCGAGAATGCGTGTCCATGTGGGAAAGAGGCAGAGAAGGAGGGAGAGAGAATCCCAGGCAGGTTCCGCACCATCAGTGCAGAGCCCAATGCAGGACTTGAACTCCCAAACCACAAGATCATGACCTGAGCTGAAGTTGGACACTTAACCAACTGAGCGTCAGTATCTATATATTTTAATCATCAGATGAGTCATGACCAGATAAATTTGGGAAAGTGGTTAATGGATTCTTATAAATTTTAGAACCATACAGATTTTAGAACATGAATTTTTGTCTCAATTCACGTGTAGCTATCTAAACTAACCAAAATATCTAAAACCATTTTTCTATTTTAAAGTACTCTTCTCAAAGCAATTCATCTATCCCTAGATAGGCTGGCTTTCAAGTTGAAAAGCACTTCATGTAATATTCGGGATAGCTTTACAATGTATCTGCCCCCAAAATGAGATAATTTAACTATGTTCTAAAAGTGTGTTTAGGTTCCAGACAATGGCTCACAAATTTTAATTAGCTCTGCAATGGAAGATTATGGAATCAGCAGACCTAGGTTCAAATCCTGTGTCACTTGTTAGCTATATACTCTTAAGGAAGTTGGTTGACCCCTCAGAGCCACAGCTTCCTTGTTTGTAAAATGGGGTTCAGAGTATCCACCTTACAAGGCTGTTTGAGAATTACAGACAGCGTGTGAGAAGAGGACACACACAGGCACTCATAAGCACAACCAATGCAGGAAAACATGAATCTACATGCAATTTTATAGTTCTCTCGATATATTAATTCCTCACATCTCCAAATTATAAAACAAATAAATTCTCTTGAGGGTCAAGAATCAGGAAAAAAAAAAAAAAGAGTCAAGAGTCAGTAAAGAGATCACACAGCCTGAACATCAGAGGTGTAAACTGTAGCACTTGCCTACCAGAAATAAAGAAAACAGTAGACCTTGGTCCCGTGGCCTTTACACTTGAATCAAGTGAGAAGTTGTGTACATGCAGTCTATCACCTTTATTGTCAGACGACAGTGTCCCTTTGCCTCTTCAACTGTTCTGGGGCCCTCTACATGACACACCCCTGCTCTTGTCAAAGATTACTGCAAGAGCAGATGGGTTTAACATTGACTGACTTGCTTCTCCAACATGGCTTCCATCTACAGGTTTTCCTGGAATCAGCAATCCTATCACCTGAATCTTGTCAGCACCTGCCTATTATTTAGGCAAATAATGTTCAATTACATAATGACCTCCCCATCCCTACCCAATTCAAACCTTGGAGGGCTGAATCTTTGGTGACTGGGATGTCCCTTCTCCAGCAGTTAGGACCTGTTTTTGAGGGGACACAGCTATCATGTGACCCCCTTTCACAGTCACATACTGAGGGAGTGGTGACTGGCTGGCAGCTCCTGTTGCAGGCACATGAGAGGCTTCACCAGGTTCCTGTTTGATGATTACCTGGCAACAAACATGATAATGACACTGAATAAACATTCCATGAAAAAAGCCACTAATATCTGAATCTATTCAGCTTGTAGGAATGAATGAATGAATGAAGCTCTGTAAAAACTGACCCCACCAGAAGAGTAAAACAAAAACAAAAACAAAACAAACAAAAAAACCCCGCTTAAATATAGCCCATAAGAGCTATCAAAAGGACCACAAGTAGGATCTGGATTTGATCCTGTATTTCTGCAAACCCAACCTAGTCCATTTGTTCTGGATTTTGGTGGCAAATGGCAGAAGAAACAAACACACACAACGTTTGTGCTCTCTGGAGTTACCATCTTGCTGGACTCCAAAGGCTGACCTGTGGACACTACTGAATAAATGAAAACATGTTGCAGAAGTAAGATCTTAAGAATTAAGGCATACTAAAAAGTAACGTGTAGTAAGGTAGTGTCCGTCAACTCCAATATGCCACAAAAAATTATTATGTAACAAAACCATATCAACTCATGGGATAATGCCCTAACAAATACTCACTTTTGTGAAAGCTCCAAGTCCTCCAGTGATAGGCTTGGGACTCTGAACCTTAGGGTGACTCCCAATTGGACAAAGAGGTGGCATAGATGCAAACAAAGAATCCTCCTGCTGTGTATGTAAAAAATACACTGTTCAATTATGATACAATAAGTGATTTCAGATATCCCAGTCACTTATATTTAATATAAATCTGTGACATCCTCTAGCAACATAATACACAAAAGAAAACTAAAAGCTCAAAACTCTTTGGAGTCTTCCAAGCCCCCACACTTGCATTTTAATATTGTCTTAGAAACCAAATGCAAGGAAAGGCTATAACCTGGCAAGAACCTACTCATCTGTGCCCCTCACAGGCTGGAAAGACTCTTATCATACATTTGACTCTTATCTAACATTTGTAGACTCTTATCTACAATGTAGATACAATGTAGACTCTTATCTAACAATGTAGAGTCTTATCTAACATTTGACTGACTCATTGGTGTACATGTCTAGTCCCCTGCCAGGTCGTAAGCCACTGAAGAAGACTGACACTGTACTTTATTTCTTTTCTATCCCTAGAGTCTAGGCACTAAATAAATAAATAAATGTAACAGGTGGTTAGAGTGTTTTAGTATTTATACCCTTTCAATAGTACTTATACAACTTAACTTATCTTTACTCCAAATAAATACCCAACACAGGCAGTAATTTTTCAATAAGTATTTAAAAGACAACAAAAAGAACCTGAAGAGTTATTAAATGCAAAAACAATGAAGGTCAACATTCAAAATTACTGTCACTTGTCTCTAATTCTCAAATACAAATTGTAAATTTCAGAGGCAATTTGCCATAAATTAGGGACAAGTAACAAAGTTAAGAACACTGCTTAGCTGTGTAATGAAAAGATCAACAAACATTAAAAAACAGACTGGCAGAGAATTACAGCCTTCAAGGCAATTATTACAATTTAGGCATTCATGTAACACAGTGCTCACAGACAGCACTGAACTCAGAAAAATGTCACCTTGGACCAGAAAACTATTCAACAGCATCACCATTAACTGCTTACATATAAGAAATGTTGTGTTAGCACTAGTCACATAGGAGATGATCTCTGAATTCTTAGTTCTTTCTCACACATGAGTTTATACCTCAAAGTCTCTAGGCAGCCATGACCATGATGAGTAAGCTGAATAACTAACCAAACAGTAGGGACTATCTTTGCTAAACAATGAGCAGATACCCAGCACTCTTAGATGAACAAGTCAGGGCATACCTGAAGTTCTAATTTTAAAGGCCTTCTTACTCTGAAGAAGGCGGGGGAGAGGACAAAGAAAAAAATTGTGGAAAGATAAGAATCATTTTCAAGTAACTACATGGCTGACACCTAGAAAAAAAATGTATTTACTCCTTATTGGTACAAATATAGGAAGAAAAGACGTATACTGCCAGATGAATAAGGAAAAATTTTATAAGGAAAAATGTGTAACAAAACTGACCCCTCCCCCCCCCTCAAAATAGCTGCCTCCTCATCATAGTAAGTTTTCAAATAGATACCAACTGTCCAACTGATGGAAGTATTGACAAAACACTTTCTACACTAGGAAAAGGTCAAGAGTAAGGTAGGGGAGTCTGGAGTAGATGGTCTTCAAGATTCTTACTAGCTTGAAGATTCTACTTAAATTCTTGCTGAGCTTGAACTTACTGTCTTTAGAAACTGGCAAAATGTAATAATGCAAGAGTATTACCTTGACAGTAGATGTTACAAAACTGCTTCCATGAATTTTAGGAATAGGGGAACCTGTTCCTTGGGAGGCCTGAGAAGCAGTAGAGAGCTTGTTTGTAGGACTTCCTGATAAGCAAGGCATATTTAAAAATAAAGCACAAAGTAAAATTTACAAAATGTAACTTTAAAGTATTTTCCACCAACCTTCCCTTTTCCCCCAATATTTTTCATTTTCAAAGGTTGAAAACTCACAACCATGAAATTATTATAGAAAAAACACTTAGAGATTCCTCCTATGAAGATGACCACCTCGTTAACCTAAAAATAGACAAGAAGCTAGTAAGGACATGTAGAAGAATAAATAAGTAAACATTATATACTCTGCTATTTAAATAGAGACACCAGAACATAATGATATTGGTTATTTAACAATGTGCCAAATGTATGCATTCAAGTGAATGCTGGCTCCATAAAAGTAGTTTCACAGGAGGCTAGACCTGTTCCAAAGTGCTGCCAACATTAAACATTTTATATTCCGTCTGTACAATTGCCTTTAGGGACTGATAACAGTAAGTCTCATTATCTATAGCCAACAATAAATCAAGACCAAAATGGTATTTGATCACCTGCTCCATTTACCAAACTTGCCTACAAAGACTTTTGGCTGATTCCTAAAACTAAACACCCTCAAAGATTCCTATTTGGCATCCCTAAATACATTCAAAAGGCTATTAAGTAATTTCTGAAACCCCCTTTTTTTTTTTAAGTTTATTTATTTTGAGACAGAGAACACGCAGGCACAGGGAGCAGGAGGGAGAGAATCTTAAGCAGGCTCCATGCTCAGTGTGGAGCCCCGCATGGGGCTCAAACTCACGAACTGTGAGATCATGCATGACCTGAGCTGAAATCAAGAGTCCGACACTTAACCAACTAAGCCACCCAGGCACCCCTGAAAGCAGCATTTTTAAAGGAGCTCCACAGTTACAATCATGGTTAAAGGACCTAACTTTTCCAAAAAAAGTACCTGGAAAGACCCAACATACATTCATGTGTTAAATCAATTATGTTTAAAAAAAAAAAAAAATCAGTCTCATTGTAGTCACTTCTCTTTTCACTATTTCTCTTAAAGCTACAGAAACTTAGAAGCATGTGTTTACATAGTTTAATTGAAGGGACTACATAAAATAATGAAAATACTGCGAAAAAACCTGAAAAGCACTCTGTAGTTATAGATTATGGTGACAAACACAATGAATCCAATTCTTATTCTTCCTATCAGAGGTCCCTTTTTAGAACTGCAGAGTTCAATTTCCCTCCCACACACAAAATTTACCTTATTCACAGAAAGTAGAGATCACTTTTTTACTTGACTGGTGAAACACATACATGGTCCACAAAGGTATTCTTTTTCTAAAGTTTAATTTGGAAAATAACTACATTGCTTGCAGGCCCAAAAAAGAATTATCTTCCAAATAAAAATAAAACATTTTTTTTTTAAAGAAAATTAATTATGGCCCACATTTACTCTTTAGAAATTAAAAAGAAAAATTCCTAAAAAATACAACTTTTACAAAAAGTACATCTTCCCTCAAAGAAACCGCACTGGAGTTACTATTCCAGATCCCCTCCTCTTTTTATAAAGATTTCATTATTCCATTACATGACTACTAAGTCCACACTAAGATTTCATCTTTATGAAAGATCAAACCTTTGGGATAACACAAAGACTGATCAAACGCACACCTGCAGTCGGAGTAGTGGCTCCAATAACCTGTCCTGGCTTGTCCAGGATAACATAGGGATTATTAATGACAGAGCTGGCAGTGCCTTGCTTCACATGGACTGGAGTGGAAGTTGGGGTTCGAGGCAGCGGTGATGGACTTGGAGTTGATATGGGGGAACCTTTATTAATGAAAAAGAGAAAAGAGAAACCAAATAAACAAAAGAGATCTACTCAACCCATCTAAGGTGATGAAGATAATGCAAGAGGGGCAGGGCTACCAGGGAAAAGAGAACGGGACTGTGGATTTCAGACAGTGAGCAACAGCAGCAGTGTAGCTGAGGCAGGGATTAGTGTATTTCCCTCTCCACACCTTTGCATCAGCAGGGAGCTTTTGAAAAACAGATTCTGAGATGCTAGCCGAGACCCACTAAATATAAATCTGTACTTTAACAAGATTCTCCCCCATACACCCATCCCAAGGCACATTAAAGTTCAAAAAGCAGAGCTTTATATAACAGCATGAAATCGCTGAATCCCTAAATAAAACTCTTAACAACTTGGGCAGATTGTTATAATTATGGTTACACTCAAAGACACTGAAATTAGAGGAAATAAGTAAGTGAACAGCCAGACTTACAAACCAGGCAGGAGTCTTGATTTACAATTAATTTCCAATAGGAAAATAGGAAATTCACCCACCCAAAACAAGTCTGCCAATACTATGTCAGAGCTACAATCCGGAGATACCTGTTCCCACAGAACACTCTCAAAGGTTACCCACGTATCATTAAATATCCTCAATGGTTTTTGTATCGATCAAATGTGTCATCCATGAATTTCTCTAAACTTCAAACCAATTTCTACGTCAGCCTATTTCACCTCTGAAGCAGCAAGTTCCAAAATGCTTCTAACTTGTAGGTAAAATTATACATCCTTCACCTTTCATGAATTTCAAAAACTTAGATATTTCTGCTTAGTTGTCTGTTTTTAGCACCAAAGACTCCTTTTCTCTCCCTTCATATACAGAAGGCTCCCACTGCCTAGATATTTCTGCAGACTCTCTTTCATGTCTTTTCTGAAGTGGTATAGTCAAAACCATGAAGTATATTCCTACCAGAAGCCTACCTAACATGAGACTGTCATGAGACAATGGACAATTCAACTTTAGTGAAAGTGAAGGCTCAGAACTACCCACTGATAACAGAAATGAGTAATGTTCTGTGTGGTTAGAGAGTATAAAAGACATTTCAATCCCAAACCAATTCCCACCTTTAAAGCTTTAATCCACACCAAAAAGCCTCTAATTTTTCTTTTTTATTACTAGTCACTCTGGTTTCTATATATAATCCATAAACTTAATCTCTCCCTTAGCTGAAACCATACATCCTAGTAAACATTTTACCTGCACCAATTCCTGGAGATGAAACTTGACTGCTTTGAATTTCATTTCTTTCCTTGTAACTATTTCCATATGAGATGACTCCTGTTTTTGCTTTGTGACAACTTTGCTAATTAACAGCTCACTTGTTAAATAAAAAAAACCCTACTTAAAAGAACTTAAAAAAAGAAAGCCATAATACATTCTGTCATTCCAACAATTTTTATACACATCAACTTGACACACATCACCTATATACCTGAAACAATCTTGCAGCTCATGGTGATGGGTTGGAAGGACTTTCCAGGTGACTCAGGATTAGGCATCTGACTTTGTGGCACAATTTTGCAGCTTGACGCTATTGGCTGAAAAGCTGAATTGCCATGAGAACAAAAGGTAACTTTCTGGGATGTTGTCATTTTGGTGGGCGTCCGTTCCAATGAAGACGGCAAAGAATAAAATGTAGTGTGTCTCTCAGCTTCAGTGTTGGCTGGGAATCCTATTTGAAAGGAAACAGGTCAATGACAAGTCAGAAATTGCTTAGAAATCATAAAACCTTACTATCGTGGGAAAAGAATGAAACAATAAAGATCCCTTATTTCAACAATCATCTTTAAACCACTCACTAGTAAAAAACACAATTGGCATATGTACGAACCCTTTATACATTTTTGGATGAAATGTAAATTATTATGTTTAGAATCATTTTATTAAAATGCTTCTTTCAAAGAATTAGAAAATGTTAACTATAAAGCATGTATAATATAAAAAGTACACAAGTGTATTATGTTCTGCCATTTTTTATATGAACTGAAAAACTATAAATTACAAAAAAAGAAAAACTCAAAAGAAAGCATTTGTTGGGGTGCCTGGGTGGCTCAGTCGGTTAAGCGTCCGACTTCGGCTCAGGTCATGATCTCGCGGTCCGTGAGTTCGAGCCCCACGTCGGGCTCTGTGCTGACAGCTCAGAGCCTGGAGCCTGTTTCAGATTCTGTGTCTCCCTCTCTCTGACCCTCCCCTGTTCATGCTCTGTCTCTCCCTGTCTCAAAAATAAATAAAAAAACGTTAAAAAAAAAATTAAAAAAAAAAAAGCATTTGCTTAATCTAATAATGCTCTATTTTGCTAAATGCCCATGAAGAAGATGCAACTGAAATTTAAAGAATAGTTAAAATTTATAAAAGGACTAAATTATTAACATCACATTAAAATATAGGCTGAGAGAGTAAATTGATGCCATTTAGAACCAGTTTTATATAACAAAAGTGATTTAATGATATATACTTATTAAATGAAAAAATACCATAGTCAAAATACATTTGCTGATGATGAATCTTATATTATATTTTTAATTCCAGTACAGTTAACACACAGTGTTCTATTAATTTCAGGTGTACAATATGGTGATTCAACAACTCTAGACATTACTCAGTGCTCATCACAAGCGTACCCTTAATCCTCATCACCTATTTCACCCATTCCCCTATCCATCTCCCCTCTGGTAACCATCAGTTTGTTCTCTATAATTAAGAGTCTATTGTTTTTGTTGGTCTCCTTTTTTTTGTTCATTTGTTCCTAAAACTCCACATATAAGTGAAATCACATGGCATTTGTCTTTCTCGGACTTCCACTTATTTTTTTTATTACTAGTCACTCTGGTTTCTATATATAATCCATAAACTTAATCTCTCCCTTAGCTGAAACCATACATCCTAGTAAACATTTTACCTGCACCAATTCCTGGAGATGAAACTTGACTGCTTTGAATTTCATTTCTTTCCTTATAACTATTTCCATATGAGATGACTTCTGTTTTCACTTTGTGACAACTTTGCTAATTAATGGCTCACTTGTTAAATAAAAAAAATCCTACTTAAAAGAACTTAAATACTCTTTAGAGCCATCCATGTTGCAAATGGCAAGTTTGAGTCTTTTTATGGCTGAGTAATATTCCATTGTACATATATAGCACATCTTTATCCATTCATCGATAAACACCTGGGCTGCTTCCTAATTTGGCTGTTGTAAATAATGCTGCAATAATACTGTGTGTATCTTTTCAAATTCATGCTTTTGTATTCTTTGGGTAAATACCCTGTAGTGGAATTACTGCATCATACATATGGTAATTCTATTTTTAATTTTTTAAGGAACGTTCATACTGTTCTTTCCACAGTGGCTGCACAAGTCTGCATTCCCCCCAACAGTGCACAAGGGTTCTCTTGTCTCTACATCCTTGCCAACACTTGCTGTTTCTTGCATTGTTGATTTTAGCCATTCTGACCAGTGTGAGGGGAGATCTCCTTGTGGTTGTGATTTGCACTTCCCTGATGATGGGTGATGTTGAGCATCTTTTCACGTGTCTGTTGGCCAACTGTATGTCTTCTTTGGAGAAATGTCTGTTCATGTCTTCTGCCCATTTTTTTACCTGAATTATTTCCTTTTTTGGTGTTGAGTTGTATCAGTTCTTCATACATTTTGGATACTAACCCTTTATCTGATAGGTCATTTTCAGATATCTTCTTCCATTCACTAGGTTGTCTTTTGGTTTTGTTGATGGTTTCCTTTGCTGTGCAGAAGCTCTTATATTGATGTAGTCCCAACAGTTTATTTTGTTTTTGTTTCTCTTGCCTCAGGAGACATATCTAGAAAAATGTTGCTACTGCAGGTGTCAGAGAAATTACTGCCTGGGCTCTCTTCTATGATTTTTATGGTTTCAGGTCTCACATTTTAGGCCCTTAGTCCATTTTGAGTTTTTGTGTATAGTGAAAGAAAGTGGTCCTGTTTCATTCTTTTATATGCTGCTGTCCAGTTTTCCCAACACCATTTGTTGAAGAGACTGTCTTTTTCCCAATACATAGTCTTGCCTCCTTTGTCAAAAACTAATTGACAATATAAGCATGGCTTTATTTCTGGGTTTTCTATTCTGTTCCATTCATCTATGTGTCTGCTGTTGTCCCAGTACCATAGTGTTTTGATTATTACACCTTTGTAACAGATCTTGAAATCTGAGATTGTGACACCACCTGTTTTATTCTTTTTCAAGACTGCTTTGGCTCTTTGGGGGTCTTTTGTAGTTCCATACAAATTTTGGGTTTGTTCTAGTTCTATGAAAAATGCTGTTGGTATTTTCATCGGGATTGCATTAAATTGCTTTGGGCAGTCTGGACACATTAACATATTTATTCTTCCATCCATGAGTATCAAGTATCTTTCCATTTGCTTGTGTCATCTTCAATTTCTTTCATCAATGTTTTACAGTTTTCAGAATATAGATCTTTCACTTCCTTAAGTTTATTCCTAGGTATTTTATTCTTTTAGTATGATTGTAAATGGGACTGTTTCCTTGATTTCTCTTTCTGCTTATTATTATTATTGTTAGTGTATAGAAATGTTAACAGATTTCTGTATATTGATTTTGTACCCTGTGACCTTACTGAATTCATTTATCAGTTCTAGTAGTTTTTTGGTGGAGTCTTTGGGTTTTTTATATATAGTATCATGTCATCTGCAAACAGTGATAGTTTTACTTCTTCCTTACCAATTTGGATGCCTTTGATTTGTTTTTCTTGTCTGCCTTTATCATGTTGAGGTATGTTTCCTCTAGACCTACTCTGTTGAAGGTTTCTATCAAGAATGATGTATTTTGTCAAATGCTTTTTCTGCAACTATTGAAATGATATGGTTTTTATCCTTTCTGTTGTTGATGTGATGTATCATACTGATTGATTTTCAAATACTGAACCACACTTGCATCCCAGGAATGAATCCCATTTGATCACGGTGAATGATTTTTTTAATGAATTGCTGGATGTGATTTGCTAATTATCTTGTTGAGGATTTTTGTGTCTACATTCATCAGAGATACTGACTTGCAGTTCTCCTCTTTTTGTAGTGTCTATCTGGTTTCAGTGTGAGGGTAATGTTAACCTCAGAGAATGAATTCGGAAGCTTTCTTTCCTCCTCTATTTTTTAGAATAGTTTGAAAAGTATAGGTATTAACTCTTCTTTAAGTGTTTGGTAGAATTCACCTGTGAAGTTGTCTAGCCCTGGACTTTTGTTCGTTGGGCATTTTTTGATTACTGATTCAATTTCGCTGCTGGTAATTGGTCTGTTCAAATTTTCAATTTCTTCCTGATTCAGTTTTGGGAGGTTATATGTTTCTAGGAATTTATCCATTTCTTCTAGGGTGTCCAATTTGTTGTCATAAATAGTTTTCATAATATTCTCTTATAATCCTTTGTATTTCTGTGGTGTCAGTTGTTACATTGTACTTTAAATAATAGATACTTAACATTCAGTTTCTTGTTCACACAACTAGACACACAACCAAAAACTCTTCCTGTAACATATCAGAATAAACCATTAAAATCATCAAAAAATGAACATTTAATGTCTTTTAGTAAGTTTTATATTCTATAAAACATGTAGAACTTCATGAAAAAATTTTTTCTGAGAATAAGGATTTGGCTATTTTCACAACTGGACTGTATAGGTAGAGGCAGCATGCCTATTTATGGAAAACTTATTTTCCATACACCCCTCAGTCTCTACAGGAAGCAGTTCAATATCACATTATGCAAATGAGAGAAAGGAATGCCCCAGAGAGTGATTCCTCTGTACAAGGAAAAATTCATTTCCATATAAGGAAAAATATATTACCTTTCTCCACACAAGTATCAGGTACTGGCTCATGTGACTGCTTTATCGGTGAGGAAGCTTTCACTGGGGCTGGAATGGTCAAAGGCAAAGATGGTGGGGCATCAGAGATGTCTGACTCGGAAGACTGAGGATAAATGGAGTCTTCTCCAAGAGAATGTCGGTGGAGCTCAACATCCACTACCTACACAATCAGGCAACAATTGGACTCATGAATCCATCATCAGTGTCACAGAAAGCCCCAAGCTTGTCTAAGAACGTGGTACTCTAAGAGATGTAACAAATGATTTTTAATCATACTTCAAAGGCAATTTCAATCTAAGAACTAAAGGACTTACCCCAGAATGTAATCTAGTTTGGTTTAATAGATAAATAACCCAGTGAAACCAATCATATAATTTGGGAATATTTGCTGTTTCTATGCCTTAGAACACTCTTCCCCCACAAATCCCTGTATGACTGCCTCTTTCTCATCAAGTCTCAATCAAATGTCACCTTCTCAGAGAGGCTTTCCCTAACCAACCTAGCTAAAGCAACTCCCTTGTCCCCCAGCTACTCTCTTCTTTATATCACTTATTTCCTTTTGTTTACTATATATCTTCTTCCCATTCTCAACACTATCAAGAATATAACTCTTTAAGAACAGCAGCTATCTCTCTATATCCCCGTTACCAAGACCAGTGTCTCCTATATAGTACATGCTCAATAAGTATCTTTTGATACAACAGAGCACATTTCCCTAAACAGAATAAGGTTTAATTGGCTAATTCTAACTATAATGGCTACTGCTGATATAGCATGAACACCACCAACAACAAAACAAGTGGAAGGAAGGGCATGGGGAAGAAGAACCAAGTTGGAGGTCTCATTTCCAGACTTTAAAACTTATTATTACAAAACTATAGTAATCAAAACCATGTGGTACTAGCATCGAGAAGACATACAGACCACTGGAATAAAATGCCACCTCATATATATGGCCAAATTATTTTTGACAAGAATGCCAAGACCACTGGGAAAAGGACAGTCTTTTCAACAAATCGTTCTGGGAAAACTGGATATCCACATGCATTAGAATGAAAGAAGACCTTTACCTCACACCATATACAAAAATTAACTCAAAATGGATCAAAGACCCAAACAGAAGACCCAAAACAGTAAAACACTTAGAAGAAAAAATAAAGGCAAAGCTTCATGACACTGGATTTGGCAATGACTTCTTGGATATGATATAAAAAGCACAGGCAACAAAAGAAAAAAGAGAAATCACTGGACTGCATCAAAATTAAAAACTTCCAGGGGCGCCTGGGTGGCGCAGTCGGTTAAGCGTCCGACTTCAGCCAGGTCACGATCTCGCGGTCCGTGAGTTTGAGCCCCGCGTTGGGCTCTGGGCTGATGGCTCAGAGCCTGGAGCCTGTTTCTGATTCTGTGTCTCCCTCTCTCTCTGCCCCTCCCCCATTCATGCTCTGTCTCTCTCTGTCCCAAAAATAAATAAAACGTTGAAAAGAAAAAAAAAAAATTAAAAAAAAAAAAACTTCTGTGCATCAAAGGACACGATCAACAGAATGAATAGGTAATAATACACAGAATGATCTGATGAGAGATTAATATCAAGAATACAGAGAGAAAAATCAAAAACGAAAAACCAAACACCTGATTCAAAAATAGGCAAAGGATCTGACTAGACATTTCTCCAGAGAACATATACAAGCAGCCAATAAACACATGAAAAGATACTCAACATCAATAATCATTAGGAAAATGCAAATCAAAACCACAACGAAATACCACCTCACACTCATTAGTTTGGCCACTATCAAAATAATAGAAAATAAGTGCTGGAAAACAGGTGGAGAAACTGGAACCATTGTGCACTGTTTGTGGGAATGTAAAATGGTACAGCTGCTATAGAAAGACTGTGGCTGTCCCTCAATAATTAAAAACAGAGCTACCATGGGGCACCTGGCTGGCTTAGTCAGTTGAGTGTACAGCTACTTATCTTGGGACTGTAGGTTCAAGCCCCATGCTAGGTATAGAGATTTCTTTAAAAAATAAAATCTTCCAAAAAAAAAAAAAAATAGAGCTACCATATGATCTAGCAATTCCACTGTCTTGGGTATGTACCCAAAAGAACTGAAAGCATAGACTCAAACAGATATCTATACACCCATGTTCTTAGCAGGATTATTCAAATAACCAAAAGATGTAAGCAACTCAAGTGTTCATTAACAGATCACTGGATAAACAAAACGTATATACATACAATGGAATATTATTCAGCCTTTTTTAGGAAGAAAATTGTGATGCACACTACAACACAGATGAACCTTGAGAACATTTCGCTAAGTAAAATGTGCCAATCAAAAAGAAAAAAAAAAAAAAAAAAAGACTGCATAATTCCAGTTATATGATGCCTAGAGTAGTCAAAACTTCACAGAGACCCAAAGTAGAAGGGTGTTTGCCAGGGGTTGAAAGGAAAGGGGAATGGTTACTGTAAATGGGTATAGTTTCAGTTTTCCAAGAGGAAAAGAGTTCTGGAGATGCATGATAGCAATACATGCACAAAACTGTGAGTATATTTAATACCTCTTAATTGTACAATTAAACATTGTTAAAATGATACTTTATGTGCATTTTAATCATTTTTTTAATTTAAAAAGGGAGAAGAAAAACTCTTTAAAAAATTCAGCACTCATTTTTTTCCAGTTAAAAATGAAGATCAATTTTCATTCTACTTATTCCCAAATAATACTGCAGGAAAAACCTACCGTCTCCGCTCCAAGAGTCTGCAGGCCAGTGTAAGTTCTATCCAGCTATTGAAAGACAAAAGAAGAGTGTAAAGTTTCACTAAGCTTACTTATAAATCTTAGGATACAATCTCATCTAAAACCCCTTTCACCACAAGTCTTCGTAACATAGGATCTATTTTTTCATAATATATCTATTCATCACTTCGATAAAAACCCTCTGAATTGGAGGGATGAGTAAAATTAATAAAAACAACCTCAATCATATAGTTATTATACCTTTAATATAAACTATATACTTCTAAAAACATTCTAAGCACTATCTAAAAATGGAGGAAGTTTTACACAAAATGGTGTTTACTATAGCCATGAACTGGAGACATAAAAGTCCAGCTATAGAGGAATGCTTAAGTAAATCCTGAACCATCAACTGTGAAGTATTATAGCCATTTAGATGGTGTTTACAAAGATGATGTAAAAAATGTAACATAAACAAAATTTACACCTACATACAAAAAGGCTCAGTTCTTAATCCTGTATTTATACTATCACTTTAAAAAAATAATCTGTACAGACACACAAATATTACTTAGCCATAAAAAAGAATGAAATCTTGCCATTTGCATCAGTATGGATGGACCTAGAGGCTATTATGCTAAGTGAAATAAGTCAGGCAGAGAAAGACAAATACTATAGGATTTCACTGATGTGTAGAATCTAAAAACCAAAAACTAAAAACCTCTCTGTTTGCCAGAGAGGACAGGGGTAAGGTGTTGGGCAAAATAAGTGAAGGAGATTACGAGGTACAATCTTCCAGTTATGTAAGTCACAGGGATGAAAAGTACAGCATGGGGAATACAGTTGATAATACTGTAGTAACTCTGTACAGTGACTACACTTACTGAGTTTCGTATAGAATCGTCAAATCACTATGCTGTATGCCTATAACTAATATAACACTGTATGTCAACTGTATTTCAATAAAGATAAAAATCAGAAAAAGTTTTTGCTTAGCATAAACAATTTGTTCCTCAACAGCATTTTTGCTTTTTGCAATAAAGCACTCAAACCTCCATCCTCACCAAAAAAAAAAAAAGAGGATTTGTGGAGTTTATCAATATAAACATTACACAGTAAGATCAATGGGGGAAAACTATTAAGTTTGGTAAAAAGGAAAGATGATTTACTAATCAGTAAATAGAAAACTCTAAGACTTGCAAAAAGTACATTTCAAGCTGTGGCTGAGGTCCTTAGCAGCCAACACAGACATGACAACTCAGTCATGAGAACTAGTTTCATAACAAAAAAGGCAATGCAGGGTGAATTCATACTCGTTCCAAGGAGGAGATCTAGAATTTTAATACTTAAACCTTAGCCAACAGTATGACTGTTAAAAGGAGGTGGGCGGGGCGCCTGGGCGACTCAGTTGGTGCGGCGCCCAACTTTGTTCGGCTCAGGTCATGATCTCATAGTTCACGGGTTCGAGGCCTGCATCTGGCTCTGTGCTGATAGCTCAGAGCCTGGAGCCTGCTTTGGATTCTGTGTCTTCCTCTCTCTGGACCTCACCTATTTGTGCTCTCTCTCTCGCTCTCAAAAAATAAACATTAAAAAAAATTTCTTTTTAATGACGTGGGCAATTTTAGGCTATGTCCATTTTCTTTCTTTTTTTTTTTTTTTTTTT